AAAATTTACACAGAAGTATCATTAAGCATCAAGATCCAGCGTCGATCATATTAAACGCTTTACTATTATTTAAATTTAATTTATACTATAATTTTTATTTGTAACATATGGATACTTCAGCACAATTTACATTTATTTTCTTACTTCATTAACTTTAATATTACTTTAAATAATAACATTTATTTGATTAATTATTTAACATTACTTTAATGATAATTAAGGAATATTAATATTTAAAGAACATTCAAAGAAGTATTCAAAATAAGTATTATCAATTTATTATTATCATTTAAAATGTATACATTTAACAGATATATGTTTATAATATGGGTACGTTCATGGACTTCTTTTAAAATGCGTTTTGAATTGCACATGAAGTGCATGATGGATCATTTATCATTGTCGTTCACTAAATAACAAAGAAGGATATAATGACATCATGGATTATACGTTTTATGTCTAATTCGGAACGTATCCTTAGTCATTAATATTAAATAATCAATAAGATAAATTCGAATCAATGAAATAAATGTAGTCATTTAAAATAATAAAGTGATAAATAAAAATTAATAAGAATAAAGAAACAAATTGAAATTGCTTAGACTGACAAGACGGGACCATAAAGGACTCCTTACGGATTTTGATTAGTGTGCCTGATAAACACAAAAATTTGAACTACAAATTGTACTTATTCAAAATTTTTATTAAAAAAAATATGTATTCGTAAAATTATTACAAGTGTGAGTTTTCAAAAATATTTATTTATGAAAATATTATGATTATTTTATGAGTAAAGAAAATGCCCCTATTATGAGATACCAAGTTCATTTTACGTAAATGCTAAAAGTCTATAGATAGAATTTTAAAAAATAATAGGTTATTTTGCAGGAAATTTAATAAGCTTTAAGATAACGTTACATAAAATTTAATTCAAATTTCATTTTTTTTTTAATTAAAGAAATGTAAAAAGTGAGCAAAAATCACAAAGTCAAAAAATTGTGCTCCTAATATGAGATGCCCCGAGAAATCGATAGTAAAACATAAAGTATATCAGTTTATTGCAGTTAAAAAACTTTATTTTAAAATACAAACAAACACAGTCAGCATGCGCAAAAAATGAACATGCGATAGATTATATCCAGAACTCGTTTTCAGGTAGGTGGAATCAAGCATCGCAGATAGGCACTCAATGTTCATTTCGATTGTCTTTTTTATTATTGTACAATAACATTTATACTTTAGCAACGATTTTTACTATAACATAGAAGTATGGGTTATTTCATATTAGGAATACCCTGGGTATCTCATATTACGATTTACACGCCTTATGATTTTACAATCATCAAATCTAACTTCAATTAGTAAAACAATTCAACATATCCCGTATTTTTATATTAGTATGACCTTACGCTGTCACTACATGAAGAATTTATTGCCAAATATTTATTTATTAAATAAATATTAATGCTCATCTTAATCAAATTTGAAGACATCCAAATTTTAAAATGTTGTTTTACAATAACTACAGATATGATTTAATAATGAATTTTCTACCAAATAGTTTTCAATCCAAGAGCAATAAATTCATGGTGGAATCAATAGATAGCATTTATTAGTTTAGCAAAAACGCCGCTATCTCATATTAGGCGCCTATCTCGTAATAGGAGATTTTCCTCTATTCATATTCATTTAAAGTGTTCAAACAAAATGTAAACTAAAAAGAAGACTCTAAAATAAGCAATAACTGTTACCCTCTAAATGTAATACTTTAATAATTCAAAGCGATTAAATAACACTCCAGATAACAATTTTTGCGTGCGCTACGTATGGAAACTTTGCAAAAGATTTGCGTGAGTTTTGTTTGTAGGACATATTATGTATATATTGTATATAATACTAGTTCATGTACATATATACGCTGCAGTACAATTTACGTGCAGATGACAAAACGTACCACTTAACTATTTGCTTGCATTTGACATGATTCTTGCGTGAAGTTTTGAACACGCTATTCATGTAAACTATATAAAAGATTTGCGTGAGTTTTGTTCTTATTGTTAGAATGTATTATGTTTGTGTCGCTTATATATTGATTTAGCACGCATCTTACATATTGGTGACAAGAGTTTTGCGCGCAAAATTTGCTGGCCATTTGTTATCTATAGTATATGACGACGCACTGAGATCAGATTTTGCATGCACAGTATGAACTGTTATTACATCGTTATTATATGATATATTGAATATTTACGTTCAAAATGTTTTCTGGAATATTGTTAAATCTTGTCTTTAAAATCTGTAATTTTTAATTAAATATTATGCATATATTAAATTCTTTTTATATTCCTTTATGAATGTGGTTCCCTCGGAAACTCATAAATATTAATTTAGAAATTAAATGTAACAAAAATGTATAAATAACTCTATGTAATTAAAAAAAAAACTTATACAATTTAAATTCTGAATATCGTTCTTCTCCCAGTTTGATTATTTTTACAGATTTCTATTTATTTTAATACTTGCGAACAGTATGTAGATAACACAGAGTGAAAGTGAATGCGAAATTAAAAATATTTGTTATTATATTCACAAAAATATTCATCGAATATTTTTTTTTTTATTAAATCGAATGAAAAATATATCTATCCGTTTCTGAATAAATATACAAAAAGTGTATTCATGTTTGTATCCATATTTGTTATTAATTCATTTATTTTCGAATATTAAATGTAGGTATTCATCAGGCACACTAATTTTGATCTTCTTCAATATAATGAATCTATATCGAAAATAAATTGCGTTGTGTCCAAATGTTAAATAGATCTTATATATAAATAATATTTTGTAATGTATAAAAAGATTCCAATTACATGAAAAATTAAATCCTTATGAAATAAATTAGTTTTTACATGTACTTAATGTAGCTTATACTATATGATGTGACGAACAGAAAATAAAATAAATGATCATAGACACAAGACTCAATAATGAATAGTTTATATATATATGAATGCAAATTATTTTATGTTAAATTCCAAAGATTCTTTTAAATATTTAAATGTAATTTTCTTTTGATGCGCTCAAAATTATATACTAAATGCATAAAAATTTATGTAATTCTATATAAAATATAAAAGTATACATTAATTTTCAGCAAATTTTGTCCATAGTCGATCAATGATATCATGACGAATGATTGCATGAGACCGAGGACGCATATATTGTTTAATCACGCATTAAAATTTGCCGATGCATCGAATCACTTGCAACACAATTTCGCAAGCTACGCGAGTGGTTTCATCGTCGACTCCAATTTCGCGGCTCATCACGGATTCCTTTAAAAAACGAGCGCGCTAATCCTGCTTCATCAGTTCGATTTTGATTTCGATCTACGAACAATGTATCTGAAGAGTTGCTGCGCGTTATTCCTGCTGGCGCTAGTCGCCTGTCAGGCTGCACCTTCATCTCAGGCAATTGAGAAATCAATTAATGAAGCAGAGACGTTCGCCAAAACCAATATAGAACTAGAAGGAACTGGTGCGGAAAAGGATAGGGCAAAGAAATCGGCAACTTTCTGCGTAGAAGTTCACTCGGGAAAACCAGAAACGGTTCCTTGCAAGCAGGAGTTAAGACAAGAGACATCCAAACCGTTGGTTATTGTGCAACCTATATCGATACCAGCATCAGTACCAATACCTACAGTTGTCGACTATCCTAAACAGCCAATTGTGATCCACCAACATTCTCAGCCTCAGTTTGTACCTCAACCAGCTCCTCAATTCATAGCACCACCACCATCTCCTGTGCCAATAAAATTGCCTGCTCCAGCGCCAGTTTCGATTAGTGACATACCGCCAACTCCAGCTTCTAAACCTTGCGACAAACCAACCATTGTGCAGCCGGCACAGTCACAAGTTCACACGGTCCATGTCATTCATTCGCAACCGACACCGCAGCCATCCAAGATAGAAAGGCCGTCGTTTAGACCACTTCCACAGGTAAAAAAATATCAATTTTAATAAATTATAAAAATTAAATTGTCAATTTGATAAATTAAAAATTGAAAGTTGATATGATAAATAATAAGTGATAAATTTTAAGATAACTTCTTTTCAAAATTTACTCAAAACTCACTATTTACCTTAATTTTTAAACACATTCAACTTTAAAGTGATTGAATTTATAAAGATTTAGTAATTAATCTAATTAATTTTCCAATTAAATTAAATTGATTATAATATTATGCAATTGAAATCTATTTAAAAAAATATAAAAAATTAATATTAAATTAATATTTTAATTTATTTCTCCAACAATTCAAACACATTAGGTCTATTTTTTATTGCTACACTTTGAACCGATGCAATAAGTTGAAGTGAAACAAACGTATATTTGTTTCATTTCAACTTATTATACTGTGTATACCAGTTCAGAAAGTGCAGCAATAAAAATTTATTACCACTTTTGCAGCAATCGATTGTCCAGGTGTCTACTTGCAAAAAATGTAACAGATTAATACCATCACTATCTCCGCCTAAATTTTCACCAATTAGTAGTTACAGCTACGGTTACCCTACAACTTTTACCGATGTAAGTGAAAAATATTATTAAGTTCTAAAAGTACTTTTTAATTTCTTTTAAAACTAAAAGTTGAGTTTGCACCAAGTTCTTGTACTTTTTGTTTTCTAAATCTGTAATTTTTTTGTAATAGATGCATCATATTCTATATATAATATAAAGACCTGTAACTCGTTATAATAATAATGACATCGTTACATTGTCATTTTATTATATATTACGTATACCGTTACGATGTTATTATTATCATAACGAGTTACAGAATATAGGCCAAAGTATTTCCATATTAAATAAAATATTATTTTATTTTTTGCTGGTCTAGGTGCTACCGCAATATGAAAGCACTGATTGTGAAGTAGAACCTTCATTCGAATGTAATTGCCGATCAGAAAACCGCCTTGTTGAGCTATCACCCAAAATCAAGATTCACGATCCTCGCATAGCAAATGCTGTAACTATCGATTCTATAGATACAGTACCTTTCAACTCTATACCCCAAAGATCCTCGATGATCTCCAGGGAACACGACCCTAGCATTTCTAATATCGTACCGGACCAATCCATGTTCTTTGCTCCAAAAGGAGCTAGAGAAGCGGTAAGTACCAATTAGATGTATTAAATAGGAATTATCATACGGTCCCACAATAATTTTAAGATAATACGAACGCGTCCTAGTAATGCAATATTCTTAAAAAGCAATAAAAAATGCGACATTAAAAGATTTCCATATGTGCAATTCTATTGTTTCTTTAAAAAAATTATAAAAAAATTATATAAAATTTTGTAAAGATCTTTATAAAAAGCTCGACTGCAGTTCGTATAAGAAGAGCTACATAATATTTGATTTCACGCTCAGGTTTAATCCTTTATATCCTTGATGACTTCGTTAAAGGAATTGGACCAAGAAAGCTTAAAAAAAAATCAAACATCTAAGATATTTAAAACTTTGTACAAAACACACGTATCTTCAACAAAAACGTTCTTATGTATTGTTTATTCACAAAATAAAAACAATTATTCATAAAAATCTTTCCAATATTGTTCTCCCTCTTTCAATCCTCCGATTAACATCCAATTTTATTGTACTCGATATACAGCATAATATATATTTCTGAAGCAAAGCGCTACATTTGGAATCTTTTGATGTGTATGAAAAGAAACATTAGTCGTGCGATCAATTGCTGAAAATTATAAATAGAAAATTATCGTATAGCAGAAAGAGATCAGTATCAATTGCACATATATTTAAGTTAGAAATGATACTTAAAAAATGCAAGTACTGATTTTTAAAACAATAAATTCTATTAAAAAATACTTAAATACTAAATATATCATAACATGTGATTTTTACAAATAATGAATATTGAATTGCTTTTTTTTTTACAGGAAGGAAAACATCATCATAGGAAACCTTATGCAACCCTCCCCGGTAACTTTAATGTAGAAATCCCTGTCGCACACGATACCCATAATTATCCTCCTCAATATTATTCTTCATATCCTTCATATCCTTCATATTCTAGTTCAAATTCTTACACCTATCCAAGTTCTTACCCTTATGGAGCCTATGGAACCTACGGAACTTCTTATCCAGTAAGCTACGACTCTCTAGCTTCAGCAAGTAATGTACCAGCAATCACTGTGAATGCGGGAGGACCATTTTATAATCCTCGCGAATCTCAACTCACTGACTCATCGTCCCAACCGAATAATGAAGCGCAACCAAGAGCATTTTCGACTGATATTCAATCAAACTACGAGCAGAAAGAAATTACACAGACCGACAAGGAAAGCATCATCAAGGAGATAATTCCCGAAACTAAAATAGTTACAAAGAAATAAAAAGAAAGGACAGAATAGATCGTTATTTATTTTATTTAACGCTGTTGAAGTATTGCATTTAATTATCTAATAAATTTTTTAATTTTTCTACAATTTTTTAATTTTTCTATACTATATTGAAAATATTGTTAGTTTAAACAAATATATATTTTCTATCAATAAAATATCATTTTTTAAACCGCAAATTATGTATACTTTTAAGCACTCACCGTTTTGAATTCTGCACTCCCATTTTTGTGATTTCCTGTATTATATTTCCGTTCTGTATAATTCCCTTTTACCATGAGACATATTTACACACGCGATTTGTTTCCGAATCGTATGCTTCAAAATTTTATAATTATCACAATCGAGGTTGAGTATAATTTTTCGAAACGTTTTAATTGATATTCATGAACAAATTCACGTTGTTTTAGAATTTATCAATTTATAAAATAAAAAATGTTACATATAATAGTTAAATTCAATATATTATTTATAAAACAATGGTGTTTAGCAAAATATGTATTTTGCAGCTGAAAATTTTCTTTTTTTCACGCTGATTGGATTATACTTTTAGAGAAATAGTTGGGTCCGGTACACCTGGGAAAAAGCTAACGAAATACTTTTAAAGAAATAGTCTTATAATCTCTGGAAAATAACAATTGTAAAATAAACATTTTGCTCAATTCACACGATTCAATAATAAATTTTATAATATAAATTTATCTGTCTTTTAATAATTTTGTCTTTTTTAAAATATATCATCCTAATTTATTAAGATTTGTACAGATATTGAATAAATTTTAGTATATATAATATAAAGGCAAATATAAAATATACAAAAGCTAATATTCTTATAAGTAATTAAAAATATCAACCTATTAAATTTTATTTATTGACATCGTTATCGAAATGTTTGAAACTTATGAATGACATTGTTTAATATTTCTTCTAAATTTGTTCCCAATTGCTGGAAACACCATTTGCTTGTTGTTGGATACATTAACACTATGGCGATGATGCACATTGTTATAGGAACAAGCAACATCGAAATTAACTGTAAAAAAATTAATTATAATTAGTTATAAATCAATCAAAAAAATTTTAGATACATGCATGAAATATCCAAGATATAAGCAGCCATCCTATCAACATTGTTGCAGCTGTGATTAAATACGGAACATATTCCGGACGAAAAATGTTCCACAAAAAAGGAATTTTATCGCTCAAATCAATCAATATAGCCTCCAACTGTGAAATGATTAATGACATAATTATTAGAATAAATGTAACTGAAAATATTGGAAAACTTACATTCATTTCGTCTTCGATAAATTTCTATAAAAACAATAATTTTAATTTAATTTAAATAAAAAATCGTTATACAATATGTACAAAATTTTACATATTGTTATAAAATAATTTTTACAGAATGTGTGATTTACACAATAAATTTTGTCATATATTTTTGTCATATAATATGATGAAATTTTAACCGATTGCACTAAAGTAGCAATAAACTGACTACTTCACTACGTTTATTCTTATTTATATATAGTGTGTTTACTAAAATAGTTCTCAAAATCTTTTATCTTCTCTTTTCATAAACATATAAAAAATTTTTTAATTTCTCAAAAGATCATTATATAATAGATTTCATAATAATAAATACATTTTATTTCATGTTTGTATAAGTCGTATAACAAAGTATAAGTTGTATAAACAAAATAAATTATTTTGTACAAATGATTCTCTTCCTGTGATTGTGAATCTTTTTTTATCAGCAATCAATATTAAGTATTCTTGTGATTGATTCAATTATTGTCAATTGATTCTTCCATCAAGCTATTATCCTCTGATTGATTTTGTGCAGGTTCAATTATACGATCGTCTGCTGATAATGTAGCAAAATATTCATCTTTTAAAGAATATCCCCGAATATCTTCCGGTATTTCTTCAAGAATGCTACTTCTATATGGCACAAAAGGAGTTTCTATGTCAAGCTGAAGCTGAGGAGTTTCCATGTGATGAGCGAGAGGTTCTTGTTGAAGAGTCGTTTTTTGCTGTTGATCGCATTTAACAAGAATGTATAGTTTGTGAAACGCCGAAGATGTCATTTTTGCCATCAGGATTGTTAGAAGCTGTACAGGACCAGGTGTTTAAAATTAACTGACCATGGGGCTACTTGCCCCTGGTCTTGATTACATTGCTTAACAAAATATTTATTAATTCTCTTTTATAATATTCTTTCAGATTCTTTCAGAATCTTTTGAAATATACAGATAAAGATATAAAGAAACAAATTTTCGACAAAAATATATAATAAATTAATTGAAATTCTAACTATATACTCACAATGATCAAATTTGCAGCTTGCCGTAATAAAAATATGGCTGTAGGATATATCAGGATAATCGTTATTTCCATCAAACGCGAAATGGCAGCAACAGAAAATAGGATACCAGACAACATCAACAGAATTACAAGTTGGAAAAGTCCAATTAGCATCTATAATATATAAAAATATTTATTAAATCATCAGATTTAAAACAAGATTAGTTACTCATATTTTGCAATCGAAAAATTTGTAAATTTTTTGTCTGTATAAATATTGAAATCATAAAGTTACGTATAATATGTGAAATTCTTAAATATTAATTATATATAAATTACTTAATATAATTCTTACACAAATAATCCACATTGCTGATATTTCTTCGTTTTACAAACTTTTGCAATTTTATCAATCGTAAATTGTTCCGTAATCAAATTGATTAAGATTCTGGTTTAATTCATCGTATTTAAAGAACTGCATTTCATATCTTGATTTCAGTCGACGAGTAAGTTTGAAACTCTATGAAAAAATTTTACAATTCAACATGACACAAGAATAATATTAATTTGGCTATGTTCCAAAATTGACTGCCTGTAATGAAAATCTATAGTGCACGTGACATAAATTGTAACATTTTCAGCGCAGACAGTAAATTTGGAACCCATTTAATTTAAAATAGCCCAACTTCATATATATCGCACCATATAAATATATTGCACTTCTCAAAGAAATCAAATGACAGA